TCCATGAAATTTCACTCGACTATCAATAAAGCGAAGAAAAACCAACCTTCCAGTTGAGCAAAGACTGCATTGGGTATCGCATAAAACAACGGAAGGAGCTGGAAGAAGGATAAAGAGAACATCTCAGATTGGTGAAACTGTTCATGGTTGGCAAACTTCGTAAAATCAGTGGATGAACTTGACAAACACTGCCAAAAACAGTGTTTTGTAAAGTGATAGCCGTTTTAGAAACCATCAGTTTTTTATGCAATATTAAATGTTTCTTATTCATGACTTTCTTTGTGCGGGTACGTCGCTTCAATGTGGCAGGGCCAATTAATGACAAGTCTTGAAACCTCAACCAATGCACTTCATACGCCAACGTATTGGTTACTACGATTAAGGCTCTGGAAAACATAACACATTCTTATAAAAACAAGACATAAAAACGTCGCCTGGGTATTGCCCCCTTAAAGGGGACGTTACCAAAATTGATGATTTTTTTTAGCTCCAAGCCTCTTTGGCGTTAGAAAATATCTTTACAGTTTTCTGCACTGCAATTTAATATGGCTTTATATCAACCTACTTCTTCTTTCAGATAAGTTTATATTAATTAACATGTCTAGAGCGTCAACTTACAAGTTTATTTTCCTTTAGTTAATTGTTGGCATACAACATAAAAGGCATAAAACTGAGACTGACTCAGCAAATTTTTTTTTCGTGTGATTTGGGGTGGAGGGAAAGTTATATTTTCAGAAAAGACTTTATGTTTAGTCTTTTCGTAATTGCCTTATTCTTCCATCAATGACGTCACCGGTCTGAAAAAAAGTGCAAATCAGCAGCCATCGCAAAATCGTTTTCTGTGCGTCCAAAAATCTAACTACAACCATTGCTTTTCTTTTCAAAAACAATTTTCATGGAATCGTCTATATTCCTTTTGAAAAGCGAAAAAATGATAGGTTCCCTTTAGCTTTACTTAAAAGGTCTTGAAAATGTTATTTCATGATCAATGCTCGGGAGTGCTTAATGGGTTTTTTGACCAATACAGTTTAAATTTAAATTATGCTTTAATTACTAGTCTTTAAAAACAGTAGCTTTTTGACGACTTGCCAAATAAGAAGAATATGACTGTTCAATAAGGCTTTAGAGACTACGTGAGTTTTTTCGATCATTAGCACTGTTAAGTTATGTCTAGTTTATACAGTCTTAAATATTTACTTATGTATGGCTGTAGCATCAATAAAAAGGGAACCTTTCTATGACAGCTTGCAAAATAAGGAGAATCAACTGTCTATATTAAAACTATTTAAAGTTTTTGGGACTCCGATGCAATTGAAACTCTTCAGAAGTGAATGAAACGCAAGACCAAATTCTTATCGGGATGTGCTTATACGTGGTTATTGTGTCCATCTGACTGTTAGCAAACTCAGTATTAACGCATTAGTAAAAGGAATCACCTGCTTTGGA